TTTGATGCAATATTTACTTCGGATAATCGCATTGTATATCATGCATATTGACATTAACTTTTATTTTTACCATTGGACGCCATTCTAATGACCCAATCAATTTTTCAAATGATTTGGATACAAAATTTGTAGATCCAATGTTTTTTGTAATACAACCTAATTGATTTGATTTGACAAGAGAATGAACTTGCCAACATAACTTACAAAAAACTAAGCCAAATTTATTAATAATAATTACAAATTTTCAAACTGTAATACTTTTTGAACTGTTAAAAACCACCACATTATTTCTTTAACAATTCTCTAATAGATCTGAACTTAACGTGAATTTCGATAAGTATGCGCCAAGTTTAAGGCTATGCACGGAGGATGTCCGGTGAACAGCTCCTTGTTGAAGACGATTGGCGTTTTAGGAACCTTGGGCTGCGGCAATCCTGTTCCGTTATTGGCAATAAGGCGAGAGTGCAGAGATCGCCGTGTCGAGGGTGAAGAAGTTATTTCAAGTGCTTCTAGGGAGATCTTTGGGATCTTTGGACAAGGTCTTTAGACTTCACTTAGGTTAACACGAGTCGTAACGGTGCGGCCAAGCTTGTCTAACAGAGCGCTTTGCCCATGATGCTCATGCGAAAAACATTTCTCCTGCTCTTAGTGTTAGGTTAACTCGATTTGCACTATCACAATTTCTGAAAATTGTCATTGTTATCTAACTTTCTGGTTGTTAAGTTCACCCTAGAAATACCATGCCGGAACAAATCGTGCACATTATAACGGCTAATATGAAACGCCGCACATTATAACGCCAGGTGCGGCGTTTCAGTCACCTGCATTTTGAAATTACCTAAATGGTAGAAGAATACCACAATCTAGCGGCCGGTGGACTTAAAAAAACTGCTTATGTCAAGTTTCTTTTAGAAAGCAACTTTGGCTACCCATTACTACAATCACAATGCATAGTTACGAATATCTGAGCGTGAGTTAGGGATCGATAATTGGAATTCGTATAAGATGGAAATAAAATGAAATATGCTCAAGTCTAACCTAATGCCAAAAAAGTAATCGAACAATGATGCGTAAAAAAATGCATGTGCAAATCTGAAACAGCCTTCTTCGCGGAAACAGAAATAAATGGTTAGAACTTTGATAGGAACCTTTCAGTTCAGCCTTAGAACGCATGTTAAACATAGCGTCTGAATATAAAGCTTTTTAGTTTAAAGTTAATAATTCCCTCATGATTTGCCTTGGTTTTCAAGTTAGAAGTTTAATTGCAATAAGTTTTCACCGAATTGAAGTGCGGTTATCGTTACAATGGAATTTGTCACATTGAAACTCTCTTTAACTTGTGCTAACGATTTTCGGAAACCAATGTCATGCAATAACCATCGCATGTTGAGCGACATGATTCTGCGCCATGGAGCTCTGGATTTCTTGGCTTTGACCGACACCGCCACGCCAGTCGGCGCCGAGCCGTCGCGCGCGGTGGGTGGTTGTCATAGCACCCGTCACAATACGGCGCTAGAGGAGCGTTCAAACCGGCGTGAAATTTCCCTCAAGCCGGGCACAAACGACTGCTTGAGAAATTGTGCTCACTCTTGTTCTGGCTTGGAAATGGGGAGTAATCGCTGTTCGTAAGAAGCAAAACTTGAACCCAAACGTCGTATTTTCCTTAGCAGTAAAACGCGAGGAGTTTTACGGCTAAATTCCGTCCCGAAGCAAGTTACTGCTTGAGCTTGATTTATTTAATATAACTTTAATAAGTTTGACTAAAATCATATAATAAAAGCTCATTTCCAGAACCCACCAACGCTGAAAATTTTCCAGTTTGGGAAATAAATTTAAATCAATCGAATGAAATCAATCAATGTAATCAACTTTTTCCTCACGAGACAAACGCTCTAAGTCGGAATCGTAAATCGTGTCCCAAAAAGTCCGCGATTTTTCCATGTGTTTTTCTTGTAACGTTAATTGCTTTTTATATCGCTTCTTGGCGTCAGCACTCAGTCTCCATGGTTACCATTAATTTGGATATCGCAATTTGGCCTACAATTTCATTGATGGAGCGTCATCACCGCACACTAACTGGTGCTATGCATTCGTTATCCAATGAACTTCAACTGCATAAACGCACATGAACTGAACCGAACTTCATCTCATATTGAAGAAATTAGAGTTATGTGTCGAGCTGCTCCTTGAAGAAATGAGCGCCTCGTTAACAAGGAAAGTGACGAAACAGAAGTTAATACTCGTTGGAAACAACCAGACCTGGACAATTCACTACAATATCCAGTACAATATATTTATCATTGTCAAACTTTGAACTCCGTACGGCCGCAAATCGCAATCTCCAGGGACCACAATGCAATCGAAAGCGCGGAAAAGATTGATAGCCTCGGGTAACTCATACCGACCATATTATCCAGGTAAAAATGTTTGCCCTCAATGTATTGTGAAATTATTCAGCCATCCAAGCTGAACTTGCTCATGAACTTAACTGCCTTTAGTGTGCGTGGAAGATATAAAAAGATTTTCCAATTTTGTGAAGAAAAAGAGGCGTCACAAATATTCTCCGCCAACAACAATTCGGTGTCGTAAGAAATGTACTGTGTTTTTTTAAATTGAACTTATATTAATTTTTCTGCTAGAAGGATAGCGCAGAATGTAGTAAGTAGTAGCCACGTGGAGCCTCAACATGGCCGCCTCCAGCGACCTGAACTCGGCGCTGCTGTAGCCTGTGCTCACTTTGACTGCAGCGTGCAATCATGTTTGAGATCTTATTAAATTGTCTTAAAATCCAATTTATGATCATTCTAAACCGAAACGTTAAAATTCTTTCTGATAATGGCAAAAATTCCGAATCAATTTTATAATTGGTTGTAATATAATAAAAATTGCCTATTTACTGAATTTTTTAACCACCACCTTCGTTTGACTTCTTACTTAGTATCATAAATTTGTGGCATCGAGGTAAAAGGGGCAAAATTGGCTACAAATTTGTCAAGCAGTCTCGTAAATATTTTCCTCATTTAAAATAATATTCCTGTTCAGTGAGAGGTGATTCAATTTTGAATTTTTTGCTTACCAATTCTTGATTACCTTTCGCATTAAATAAACGTAAAATGCTCTTCTTATGACAGAGGAAGGTATTTGCCGCAAACTTTACTAAAATTCAACATTTTTGCCAGTCTGATTTTACTAAAATTTAACATTTTTCTAGTCGTTGACTCAAAATCACGACCACATGTCACCTATTTTTCTTAACAGATGAAATGAGAATTAGGATGCAGTATCCAAGTAAGCTGCAATTTACTGTGAGAATAATTTTGCCTCGACCAATGGCAGTGAAAAAATTTGGCAATCATTCCGAATAACAATAGTCAATAAAATCTAGAATACACCAACGCTGTAGCAGAATGGTTATCTTTAAACTATTGAAAGTATTTTTAAAATGATAAAAGCTTCCACTAAACTCCGATAACTAGTCAAAATATAAGACTTTTTGTTTTCTGTTCGAATTTTTGCCATCTGAAGTTTTACTTATCAAATATCAGTCCCTTCCTTGCCAGTAGTTCGATATTGAGTGTATAACTAAGTAAAATTGGCAGTTTTTGAAATGACCGTTAGAAACTGGCACAAAATTCTGTGCCCGCTAGCTGTGCAACGTGGCATCTCTTGCTCTCTTCACTTCGGAGGCGAAATTAAACGTCAAATCCTTCATTTCAATAACTCTACCCCAAACATCACTGTTATATGTTATTAAATGAATACCCTTGCTTAAAATACTATCAATTATACTCATGTTTTAAATTGAACTTTTCATTTAAATCCGATATTTCACTGCACATCACATGATGGATGTATTGAAAGCTTCATTGTGTTTCGGAAAAATATTTGTTCAAAGAGACACAAGCACCCTTTTGTCCAGCGATGCAGAATGTTGTTATAGAATTCTTCCGTTAAACTCCGAGGTCTTTCATGCGCAAAGTCGTGTGCTCCCCCAAGAAAATATAGATATTCAATTCGATGAATAGCAGCGAAGTTTCTGAAAAGACTCGCTCTTGATTGGCTCAAGCTCAAAAAGATGGCAATTGTTTGCGATATTTATGAAAATTCTTAGGGAGTAAAAAATCCCTTTTATTTAAGAAGCTACAGTTTTTCATCTTATATTTACGAGCTTCCATTTGACAACAAGGCTGTTGTAGCAAATGTCATTTACATAGTCTCCTCAGTCGCAGCTCGGAACGGCGTAGGGACACGGTCAAACTGCAAGATACATTTTAATCGAAAAATATTCGTTTTACTTAGAATTCTGGTGCATAATACTTAAATGGATAGATAAATTTAGATGAAGTAAAATTATAATCATTGTCAATTTTTATCATTCTCAATCTGCTATATCACTTGAGAGGATCATGAGAGTTCAAGTGTAAGTGGCAAGCCATGTTGAGCTTTTTTAACGTATCGGTAATTCTTGATCTCAAAATTAACAAAACATTAATATGCATCACAAGCCGCTAAAATATATATACCGATTTTCTAGGCTTCAGATTGGAATTAGTTGAACATTCATTTCGTCATTTCGATGATTCCTAACGTCATCCAATACAACATGCAACTCAATAAAATTTTGCACTGCAGATGAATTTATGGAGTCGTAATTTATTTGCCGGAACAACGTATTGCCGGAACAACATTGATCAGGACCTGCATTTTGGCACTACAGTATATGAACTTGTGGAATGTTCCGCTCGAATGACCTGTTGAATGTTGAAATATAGTATATCAAAGAGTTAAAAAGAAATTATTATACTATCGTTGAAAATCTTCGAATATTCTTAGCGTGGTTTTTTCTTGACTGATATGATACGCTGACTCCCGTTCCTTGCTTCCGACTGAACTAACATTCCATCTATGACATTTTTTGGGAAATTCATATCCACGATCCTTCTGATATTTGTCTATATTTGCTACACGCTATCACGAAAACTAAAAGAAAAACTGTGATTGGTTTGAAAATTTGAGATATGTAGAGTTTTTCTACTCGCAAATCTCGTGGAAGTAGAACGAGTTACCTTATCACTAGCAGCGCCGCTGGTTTAAGTCAGCAAGATTGCTAACGAACAATTGCAAGATGCAGCGCAGAGGCTCTCCGAATCTTTTCTTGCTTCTTTGGCTTCTAAGTTCGACAGCTTTTGGAACTGATGCAAAAGGAGTGACTTCTGCGTCTCCAAATGGTAAGTTTTGTTCTCATTAATATACTATATCTCATTTATTTTCTATTGATTGTTAAAGATTAGTGTTTGTTTCTTTATATAGGTCCGAAGTCTGTCAAATAATTAATTTTATATCCATTAATGAGCATAGAGAATTAATCCACGATGTTTCTTCTGTTTCATTGAAAAACAATTTGAAAAAAATTATTACTAAATTATTTCCGCAAATATTCTATTAACAAGCATGCCGTAAAAATGATCTCATATTTAATTATTCAGTAAATCTGGAAGAGAAAAAATTAGATCTGAGCCCTCTGCAGTGAGTGACAGAGAGCGCATTTTCTCGTCCGTCCGTGACGTGAAGTCACGGACGGACGGCATGACGAGCACAATAGAGCCTTTTTTACCATAAATGAGAAAATGCGCTAAAAATAAAGAAGTAATGAGAGAAAATGAATAAGTAATTCGATTAATTAACTGTACGCTTCATTCGAAGAGAAGTCATGCATTGGCTACAGTCAAAACATTATGCCCTTCATATAAACATGCAATATTTATGATATGAAGCTGGGCTTCATCGTGAAGAAGCAGAAAATATTAACTCGGTATCATCAAACTGCAAGTAAAATATCAGAAGAGTTCAAGACAGAGAGAGGATGCATCGTAAATTGCTCAGCGCAAGTGGCCGTGTCAAGCACAGAGAACATGGGACACTTTTGACACTGTAAGAATCGCTTACAGTTTCATCTAGAAAATCGATCGCGAAAAAAGTGAACAAAAACAAGAAATTCGTCGATAACTTGGATACACCAAACTGTGAAATAGAAAGAAAATTAATTCTTAATTTATAGCGTTCGATCGAGAATTTTTCATCATCATGACGCTCTTCACTGATTTGAAAATACGTAATCTTTTCTCTGTCCTTTAAGGAACTCTCATTATCAGTAGTATGTTATGTGAGCGTTTGTGTTATCGAGGATATTACGCGTTCATGTTTGGTTGAATAAAAACGTGAGATTTGTGTCAGTAAATAATATAAAATCACTCATTTATTGGGTTCCTAGTGTTAGGCTTACGTAATCGTTGTTCTTTTAGGCGATAAATAAATTACAGAGCCGTGAGCCGTTTTCGTTGAAGCTCGAAATACTACAATAGGACTGTTTGCTAATAACGTTTCGCAGCTGTCGTTTATATTTATTAAATCAATCAATCTGAAATAATAATGCACTTGTAAGAGCCTTTCATATATTTGATTCTAGCATCAATCGATTCTTGGTGTATCATCGAAAACAAGTGTATATTTAAAGAAAATGACTTGTAGTTCGTTCAGGTGGTTCAGAATGGATGCTCGTTTATTATTTATACAGATTTCTGGAAATAAAATAATTAACAACTGATTAAGTAGGTGAAATAACATTCGAAAATGTGTATAAAATATTTAAGAACCTAATCGAAGAGCAAGCAAAAGTGTATAAAGAAAATGTATGAAATAGCCAAACCATCTAGAGGTTGTGTCGCATACGGAATGAGTATATAAGAGCAGTTGCCTGCAGTTGCCCCCTTCATTTGCAGTTGCGGTCCAACCAAGAGGGTCTAAATTGTATGTTCACAAGGGAAGCATCCTTTAATAGAAAAATTTCTTCGTAGCTGTGCCGTTATTATTATAAAATGTATCAATCTATGTCTTCATTCTTGATTCCTATATCTTCCTCAGATTTTTTAAATAATTCATAAGACTAATCATTCCTTAATAGATGCTCAGGTTATATATAAGGAATAAGGTTACACCGAGACTAATTTTGACCACATGAAAAATATCAGAAATGCTATTTCATGTCGAATTGGCTCTAAATCAATAAAAGTAGAAGAAAAGTCGCATCGACCAGTGGTACAAAAATTGGCGATTCGGTGACAGACGAGCATGGCGATCAGTAGTCGTGTTTGGCGGTGCTAAAGAGGTCATAAAATCCTAAAGGGGCGTTGGGCCCCCGAAATATCGGCACATTGGCCTCTTTTAGAACGTATTGCCCGCTTAACTTGGTTAGGGCCTACGTAGTAAAATTGCTTTCCAAATGCCACAGAGTGTCGTAACTTCTCAAACTTGCGTCATAAGAACGCGTTGCTCGACGATTTTAGAAGTGCATTGCTGGAGAATTTTGCTGACATCGTGCTAAAATTGTACTTCCGTACACCTGCAGCGTATCAGTAACCGATCGTCTATATATGTACGTTTCCGTGAATCAATGTATTTTTGTCTTCTTTGTATTTATGGGCGACAAAGCTGCGCTTCGATGCACTGCAAAACATTAATCGCAGCCTATTTTATCTTGATGATCGATGACGAGCCATAAATACAGTAGGTGATGTCGCTCTCACCATACACTTGTATAAATACTTGTGTAGAAGTGTGCACTATTCAGCTCTGCGGGCATTATTCCCATTACATAACTCCTTGCAAATGAGCAGTGGTGTAAAAAAATGTGCTACGAATTGCCTTTCTTTGGTGAAAAAACTGGATCTATTGTTTTATATTATTTTTATTGCTATCAAAATTTCGGTATAATATTTCTTAGATCCGTGAATAAGGAGATGTATTATTGGTTATGAAAATTAATTAAAGCAGACTAATATCATACAAAATTCTACTTACACGCAATTAATATTCTATTTGCAATTGAGTGCAGTGCATTCAAGTGGCTATCAAACATCGAAAAATAAAAGTGATGATATCGTACATGCAGTATAATTATAGATTAAACTTGCTTGTGTGTCTCTTCATTTTTGTGAACGTATGGATAAATGTTTGTACGATAGTAGCAGTCGTGAACACATACTGTTAGGAGTGATAACGGGGGCGCTGGGTGTGAATAGACATACAAATATAGGGAAAGAGAGGGAAAAGGATGAGGGTTATGCCCCTATACGTTTGGTTGGGGTGTGAAAGGGACTCTAGAGCATCAGATGATTGAATGTGAGTGGGAGAGAAGGATGTGTTATAATGGACGTGACTCTGAACATGGGATATGTGAGTAATGACGTGAGGTTTTAGAGAACATGTGTGAACTGGATTACAGTGGACATGCGTTTGTCTTAAGGAGCAACTGTGGCTAGGATTGAAAAAGTGAAAAGATATTTGGAGAGCGCCGCTCGGAGGCCAAGAAAGTGGAGGACGACCTGAATTAACCTAATGATTTAGGACATGTAAAAAAACTATTAATGGAATACTAACTATTACGAATATCTAAACTTGTATTTGTATTTTCGCACGTTTTTACCTTTTTTGGTCATTTGGCTCCTAGTAAGTTAGCATTTCTTTAAAATCTTTAATAAAAATCCATATTATTCGTTAAGTATTATTCAGCCCTCTGAGAGGTGAGCTGACAATACTTTTTTATGCATGACAATGCGCTGCATGGCTGACCAATGCATAGGCCTGACCTGAGGTTTCCACGCCTCCCGATTCCAATTTGCTTGCTGGACGCTGCGATGATGTGCACCAGCAGGGCCTATACTTTCAAAACAAGTTAAGGGATCGTAAGTTCATCCGCCTATCGTTGACGGCCTTTCAAGCCAAATCCACCAATCATAGAAAAAATAGAGCGTAACTACTTACGTTCACTTAGCTAGTTTTGAAAGTATGGCCCAGGAAACTGAAACACGGCGAGCCACGCACAACAAAACCCTGGCACAGATCTGCCCAGTGCACCGCTGGTGCATCGTACGGTCAGGCGCGATGGCCGCGTGAGAACGGCGCAACATAAAGCGCTGGTGCCTCAACGTCCACACAGAGTCTCTGAGGGCGCTGATGGATGATGTGGATCCGTATTAATTACTTGAGAATAACAGCGCTTGCCTCGCCTGTTATTGAGCGCATACTCGAGCGGCAGCAGGCACAGTCGCCACCCTCGTAACAATAACCAACCTGCCGGCTCGCTGCCTGCCGGGGTTCGTTCCGATCATATACCAGCCAAAGTATTGACCACATGTAGCAGATAATTAAAAATAACAAAAAAAATAAAGAACTACATGTAGCAGATAGCTTCTTTTAAATAATAACTTGATGATTACCATGCCATACATTCAATACTAGAGAGGCAGCGGAAATATTATATACACTACATGATTGTCATGCAGTATTCTCTTTCGGCTGCTTGAGGGATCATTAACTAACACGCTTTTATCGTGATTATCGAGAGAGATAATCATTGTAACTTCGATATTTCGTTCTTCCCAATACCGTCATCCCAAATCCCAAACAATACAGTCAGCCCGAATTCAATGAATCATTTTACAATTTAAGTGCGAAAATTGATGTGAAGACCGTTCAAACTTACATTTAGCACGTATTGTGCTAAATGAGTAGCACAGTATATTATCATTCACATCATTGAGCACGTGTTGTGGCTTCTGGATCGATTAACCCTGGCTCTTAACTATCGAGCCAGTATTCAACATAAAATTACATATGTAAATAATTTTTGAACTATTATTTATTTTCTGGTAATATTTTTAGCGATGCAATAATTCGCCTTCGTTGTTTGTTAATCTTGTAGTTTATTATACTGAGCTTAGGCATCAAAAAAATATTCATAGTCGTGCGTATCTGAGAATGAGTTGTTCCAACACTTATTCAACCAAGACTCGTCGCATGGAAATCCTCTACAAATTTCTATGAAATAATAGTTATTATTATTCAGTAAACTTTCATACTATGATATGATCATAATTGCGTTAAATTCCTTATTTTAACCCCGTTTCAAAGAGCTCCAAGATGGAATACATGACATTGTGATGCACAACAACCAAATAAGTTTTTACGTTAGCTGCTCACAGAGGGCAGGGTAGAATGATTGACGCAGAAAAATAATTCGATCATATTGTTCAAATAGTGACACACTTTCTGCCCGTATCACTGATACGCCCACTTGCCGTCAAAACTGGGCCAGTAACCCAAACAATTTTGGGAAAGTAAGCGCATCGCTAATGGGATAAAGTTTACCTTCCGGGATAAAGCTTACCTT